CATCCACAGATGCATCTCGAGCAGGTCCAAGGAGGTGATCCTCCCCCTCTGTGTGGCACTGGTCAGGCCGCAGCTGGAGTACTGCGTCCAGTTCTGGGCGCCGCACTTCAGGAGGGATGTGGACAACATGGAGAGGGGCCAGAGGAGGCCACTCGCATGATCAGGGGGCAGCAGGGCAGGGCCTACGAGGAGAGGCTACGGGGCCTGAACCTGTTCAACCTCCACAAGAGAAGGCTGAGGGGGGATCTAGTGGCCTGTTACAAACTAGTCAGAGGGGACCAGCAGGCGTTGGGGGAGTCCCTGTTCCCCCAAGTGCTGCCAGGAGTGACTAGAAATAACGGCCATAAGTTGCTGCAGAGTAGGTTCAGACTAGGCATCAGGAGGCGCTACTTCACGGTCAGGGCGGCTAGGATCTGGAACCAACTTCCAAGCTGGCTCCTACCCTGGGGGTCTTTAAGACAAGGCTCAACAATCACCTTGCTGGGGTCGTTTGACCCCAGTACTCTTTCCTGCCATGGCAGGGGGTCGGACTTGATGATCTGCTCAGGTCCCTTCAGACCCAACCAACTATGAAACGTCCACTCTGTGCCCCAGTGAGAGCCAGGCCTGTTATGCATTGGCAGTGGGGCTGAGGCCTACTAGGAATGACGATGGTTGGAGGGAGGCCAGACAGACCCTTGGGCCATCCCTTCCAGCCTGGGTGGTCCCCGTACCCCCAACACCAGCTGGGCTGAAGGCTCTGCCAGGCTGTGCCGTGTCTGCAGACCCTTCACACTGAGACACTTCATTCCTCTCTCAGGGCTGCTGAAGTTGGGCACAGCAAGAGCCACTATCTGCACTCGGAGAGGAGCAAGATGGAGCCTCTTGCCAAGGGGTTGGGGTCCCACTCCCTGCAAACTGGCCAAGGAGCAGGTCTGCAGAAGCGGGGGGCTTGGTTCTACCTCAGCAGATCTGCCCCCTCACCTTGATCGCCAACAGGCCCATGCCAAAGGGATGGTCGTGCCAGGTTGGTCAATGCCAGGAACTCAACTAATGGCCCCAACTGGCTTAGGAACAGGTTTGTGTGATGTGGCCACCTGCAAGAGCTGCGGTCTGGTCTCATCCACCCTGGAGGCCCCTTCCAGTCCGGGATGCCATGTCCAGAGCTCAAAGTGAGGGGCTTTGCTGCTTGCCCCAGAGAGCCAAGCTCCAAGCTGTCAGCACTGCGTCCTCTGCAGGTTGACTGCTATGCGGGATGTGAGTTTTACTGAACTGACTTTTAACTTAAACACTGGTTCTCAGAGCAATGCCTGGACCAAGCCTCCTTCCCACCAAGCCCATCATACCAGGCTCCTCTGCCCACCTAGAGAGAGCAGGCTCTCAACTCTCCAATGCTCCACAGAAACTCTTACGGCTTGCGTAGTAAAAGCTCTGCTGGACTCAACGCACCAGGTCTTATCGGTCCAGCAAGGCTGAGCAGGCCTAGTCCTGGTCAGTGCCTGGAGAGACCATCCTGAAATCCCATGCCCAAGCCAGGGAGCTGAGGCTGGAGAGGCATCTGGCTGGGGTCATCTGAGCCCAGCACTCTTTCCTGCCCAGAGCAGGGGGTTGGACTTGATGATCTGTTGAGGTCTCTTCTGACCCCAGCATCTATGAATGCTTAGTTCACCAACTGTCAGCCAGGATGCTGCACCCTGGGTGCTGTGAGTCCCCTGAAACGGTGCCACGTGGCTGTTGCACTTCCACATGATTTAGGAGATAAACCCAGAGATTTCCAATAGGAATCCAGAGTCTGGCACGTGTTCTTCCCTCTCACGGGCTTGCTGAGTTCTTTGCCACAGAAGAATTGCTGCAGTATTTTTCCATAGTCGAAGAACGAGTGAAAGCCATGAGCTGGCATTTCCCAAGGGAGGGCTGACGGAGAATAAG